GAGGTGTGGGGGCAAGGATTAAATATTTAAGGAATTTTTGTGAAGTAATAGAAGCGTCTTACTATTCACTATAATTTGGATAGTATTGTGAGGCCCATACAAAGATCTCTACGTTGTATAATGGTACCATATCAAGTCTTCTTCTGAGCCGGATGGGGGGGGGGGCTGTCGAGTACATCCTTGGATCGGTCCGTTAAGTTAGAGAATTAACCGTGCATACTTCTTAGAGAAAGTCCTATAACTTCACATGGATTAATAATACTTTAGTTAGCCAAGTTAATTAATGGATAATTGAATGTTGATGAAACTATAACCATTTATTAATTAATTTTTGATTACTTGGTGAGGTCAAAGTTTTAATTTATTCAAGTTACCATAAACTAATGTTTAATATGGCTTTTGAAATATAAATTACTAAAGCAACGTGTTACCACGCATTGCCACATGCGTTACCATGTACTAATGTTTTAAAATATGGCTTTTCTATTACGAACAGAACACATTACCACGCGTTACCACGCGTTACCATACGCGTTACCATGTACTAATTGTCTATTTGGCTTTTCTATTACTAAAACAATGCATTTCCATGCGTTATCTCGGATAACCATACGCGTTAACGCCTAGTAATTCTATTCATTATGGTATTTTGTTGATAAAGCAAGGCGTTACCACGCGTTACCGTCAAGTTTTTAATAAAATGTATATAGTAGTTTTTTTAAATAAAAGATGGTAACGCGTGGTAACGCGTGCGCAACTCATGGTAACGCGTTGTTAGTCATTACTTGCATATCGATCTTGTAGTTTTGAACCATTAGAAATGAACTTTTATTGCGGAAGTTTTATTGTAGCAATAATAACTATTTGATATTAGTGGTAACACGTATGGTAACGCGTGGTAACGCGTGGTAACGCGTTGTTAAATTTGAATTTGGAGCGGAAACAGTAGCCCATGCATATACATTAATTAAACTAATCCAAATGGCTAATTTCCAGTTTGAGAACGAGGATGTTTACATGTTGACGTTGTTCTTGAATTTACATAGTACTTTAAAATAGAAAAATCTTGATTTGTGATGGTTGCATATTTTTCATTCTTCATTATCGATATATCTTTTTCGAATCGAAGGCAAGCTTGCAAAGGAACGTTAGATGCCTGTAAGGTATGGACTTTAACTTAACTTGGAGAAACTATCGCATAATATAATACTTGTATATCGGCATGTATACTATGTAGTCCAAATATGTTATGCAAATTTTGTTCGTTAACATTAACATAAGCGCTGCCAATGAAAATATTATGCAGTAAATAGCCAAAACCTGCGCTCGATTTTCCCCAATTTTCAGACAATCGTCCACAAAATATTTGAGACAAACCCCGTCCCCCGATTTCAATGTTGTTAGGCACTACAATATAGTTTAATTCCAACATCATATGTTAAATTTCAACAGCCAGTGACACAGTTGCGGTGCTAGTGTCACCTTATGTTCGTTTTGGACAAGTACACTAAGTTTCAACATTGAAATAAGGGGGGAGGGGATTGATTTAAAAAGTCTCAATATATTTTGTGGACGATTGTAGGTCGGCACATTTCGGCATTTCTTAAAATCTGTTCCACGTCTTGGAGCACTATTAATCACGCATTTACGAATCATTGAAATCGGAATATAACTGGAACGTTACCTCCAGCCGGAAAATTCGAAAGTTGGAGCCAAATTTTAACTCCAGACGCGCGAAATTTGATCTTCAAACATCTAACGTATATACACAATACCCGTCAGTTTTTAAAGCTTACACCGTAGTGTGTTCAGTTAATCGAATTCGCTGATATTTTAAAAGTTATCAGCATAAAAAATTCTTACTTTGGTTGAATTAAGGTGGGCAAAATTTAGCCCGGCATTGCCGAATGCCGACCTCGTTTTCGAGGACTGATTTTGCCACGTCTTGCTGACGTAATAAGTGATACCGACAAAGAAAAATTCGCGAGAAAATTCGCTAGTGGAAAACCGACTTTATAGAACAGTATAATAAGCAACAACAACAACAACAACAACAACAACAACAACAACAACAACAACAACAACAACAACAACCACCGCCAAACAAATTTAATTACCTAATTATGATTTCAATAATATTATGTTTTTGGACTAGCTGCCAGAAGTGAAGAGACTGTATTCGAAAAAATTTGCATTGCTGCATGTGTGGTTTCTTTGATACATGCTATTCGTGATATTCGGTTGGTTACTACAGTGGTTATCTTTAGCCAATCCAGTTTTGCCGACTGAGATAACAATTTGCTGATTAGCTGACGAGTAAAATGCCCCCACACGCCCCCTGCAGCGCCGCCCCTGGAAGTTGGCTCGAGGCCAACAGATCATGGCACGTTGGTGTATAAAAAGGGCGTGTGAATTGAACAAGTCGCATATTATTAGCCTGCATCACAGACTTCAAAACACATGTTTTAACATATTATTGGCACTGATATGAGATGAAGATCCGGGCCTACGGATCGAAAGCTTTGCAGTCATAAATTTACGTGGTGTTTCCACAAACAAAACGTATTATAAGATAAATATACCTAACATGGAACAATTTGTACCAGTAAGGGACCGGTCATTAATAATGGGGAGGGGCGGTGGGTGAGAAAAGAGGGGCGGCTTCAACTATTTTTGCCTGAATTGGGGGCGGCCTCAAACTGAAAAAATATGTGACAAGGGGCAACCCCAATTTTTTAATACTTTCCTACTCGTTTTCAATCCCTCGCCTTTATCGTATCCCAACTTTTTTAGTTCCTATAATCGTAGTTTCTTACGTATATGCAGTTCACAATAGGAGTCGGAGTAAATAACAATCATTTTGAATACTGGTCCTTTAATTATTTAGGCTACACAATTTCTTACATCACTGCTTGTTCCGTTACCTATTTTACACCAAAAAATGTAACGAATTAAAGGTTGGAATGGAGGGAGTCTTAAATTGTTTAATTATTTAATAATTTAATTATTTCGGCTACACAATATCTTACACCACTATACGAATTCAGTACTATTGTTCGAAAAATATAGAATGATAGTTGTTATTGACTTTTTTTACCTGTGCCAGCGTAGGTCTTAGTTACTAAAACATTGAACGAGCCACAACGACCTAACAACGATCCAGAACGAGACACAAGATCGATCCACAACAACCTCAAAACAAGCCTTGACAAACCGCTGAGCTGCATGTATAATAGTTACTAAAATATGGAACGATCCCATGGATTGTTGTGAGTCGTTGTGGCGCGATCGTTGTGGGGCCGTTGTGGCTGGTTGTGGGGTCGTTGTGGAACGTTCCATGTTTTAGTAACTACGCAGCGTCGGTAGTGACAACACCAGAAAGCTGCGGATTCAGAGAAATTTCAACTACCTGAAAAATACAAGTTTTCTTGGACGTTTCGAGCGAAGGCAGTTGAATCTATCTCAATCCAGCTATTTGCTGTTCTTGACTGTTGTAACTGGGGTTAAATTCTATGCAGTATAAAATTATGAGAATAATTCCCCCTCGCTGGGTTTCCACTTAATTCATTTGCACAATATTCAAAAGCTTTTTCCAAAGTTCCGATTTTGCGACAAATTATTGTTATTATTCAACGTATTCACAAAATCTTAAAGAACTGTTTCATTTCTCAAAACATTGGATATTTCTATCAAATTCATCCAAAAGAAAGCTAGGAGTAGGAGACAACACGCCACAGGTATTCATGCTTCATCGCATTTCTTGGGGAACATTGTATCAGAAATGTAAAATAAGCAACAATTTTACTGAAAATAACTAAGCTAATAATTCGAAATTAAAATAATTTGTAGAATGCCGGACCAGCCAATTTGAATTGACCCTTGTCTTCAAATTTTCAAACAATATACAGTACTCATTCGTTTTTGCATTGAATTCCCAGAACACTGCACTCTTCTTTCCAGCGAAGTTGTGCATATTTGTACTTTTATCAGCAACAATGTTTATATAAACACTGCGAAAACGACAAAAAATGAAAGGCTAACCCCTTATTAACTTTACATCATTTCTAGTCATTGTCGTTTTGATATCCAGTTGGGCGTTTCGACTATGCATTTTTACTACAGGTTCAAGTCCGTTCAAGTAACTTTTTCTCAACAAAACGCAAATCCCGTTAATTCACAATTTTATGATTTCCAAATCATAAAATCATGTTTCAAATGAAAAGTTTGAAATTCTTTCTCAAATGGCCACCCCCTTGGACCTGTGGTCAATGATTATCAACTCATAAAAACATGTCATGAAATGTTGAAAAATGTTTTTCCAATGGTCCCTTTTTTGGTACCCCCTTTGGTCTTATAGTCCCCCTTTTGACTCGGTGTCATTTTGAAAAACTTTAAACAAATAATTTCAATCATAAAAACATATACGTTATGAAAAACATGAAAATATTTGTCTGACCTAACTCGGTGGGCCTTAATGTTCCTCCTACCTTTTCTTCAGTTTTTTGAAAATGGAGCCAAAAATTCCGAACAGAAGGAAACGCTAACCGTTACATTTTACATAGGAGAAATACAAAAAATGTTAACACTTTTAACTTTCCCGGAAAGATTTGGCAAAAAAAGCAAAGACTACCCCTTTAATTTTTGAAAAAGGGGCGAAACGTTACAAAAAATGTAAGTGCTAACCCTTAACTTTTCGAACATCGGAATTGGGGAAAAAGTGGTTAAAGTGAGCAAGCCAACACAAAAATCACTTGCATTTAATCGGATCAATTAAGTAGAGTGTACCCTGTTGATCATTTTTTATAACTTAATTAATAACTGTATTTGAAGCTTTCATACTTATTTGAAGTATCTATTCAACATGTCAACTATCTTTCTACTGCACACTATCGTACATTAGAATACTGTTGGTAATCATGTTACCGAGTTCAAATAATTCTTATAATTTATAGCGAAAATTAAAAAAACCCCAAAAATCACGTGAATTAATAAGTATATTATCATGGTAAACTTTCGTCAAGTGTTCTAGCAAAACACAATTGCTTTTCGCCCATTGTCTCGGTGCTATACTGAACAATACCAGAGGTTATGATAAGATTGTCCAAAAGAAAATTATCATCAAATTTTTCATGCCCCCACGCACCAAGAGTTGTTGCACCGCTACCCTGATAAGCCCCGCCTTTGTTTTCTTTGCAATCGTGCTGACCATTTATGATTATACATCTGAAATATAAAAACTCAAATTAAAGGTTTCTGTCGCTTGCTGTCAACAATGACGCCAAGATGAAAAATATAACCACCATCTTCTTTATACACTCTAAAAATAACACTATTTGGAATAAGTATAATTTCAGTATTAGTCTAGGACCTGCACAACCTCGTTCCCAGGCTCTTCCCTCTTGTTGGAGGAAAGACCCTGGGGCTGGTCACGTGTCACGCGGATTTCGCGTGGTAAATTAAAATTGTCATTAGGGTAGGGTGGCAGGGAAGCGCGTTTGGAAAATGACAACTTGTGTAGTTGTGTATATTTATATAGTTTGGATAATAAAATTTAAATTTGCAACAAGAAATCCTGAAAGTTTTCGTATTTATTATGACACGACTTCGTCCTTTGTATCATTCAGTGTTGGGTTACATTAGTCAAGCGAGATGTTGGATTTCAGTGGACACAAGGCTTTTGGTAAGAAAAGCACGCGTCGCTATAAAAACACAATCAAAAAGTGTAAAAAATCTTCTAGATTGATCGAGCAACTGATGTGGTTACGTTGTGAAAACCCAACGGATTTAACGTACGTGACCAGCCACAGCCAGGGTCTTTTCCCCAACAAGAGGGAAGAGCCAAGGAACGAGGTTGGGACGTTCATAAAATCAGTATGTGTTTCATTTAGCACAGGCAATCTCAACTGTTTTACAGTTAATGACGGCATATTTGACAACCTTGATGAAACTTGGTTGAAATCTTCTTTAGCCATCTATCATTATGTAGAAGTACAACAATTGGATGATACTTGCGAGACTCGGCGATAAAAAGCAAACAAGACGGCAAAATATGGCTGAAATCGTGTTTTCGTTGGGGGTAAGTGAAATAAAATGTATTATAGTTATAGAAAACAATGACAATCCTTATGAAATCTACAATAATTATATACCATATCGGCTTGCTAATAGAATTTTTATCATTTTATGCTTTCTGTCAGGGCCTTTTTTAAGGATTTTCCCGGGGTGGGTGGCATATTTCAATAATTGTTTTATCATTCACTTATAAAGCTTCATTTTATCTTTCGTTTAATATAAGTTCACTGTCTCACTTTCTTGCTTCTGCATAAAACTTGCGAAGGACGTTGGCAGGAGTTTCTTTTGGGCCAACTAGATCGTCTTCGTTGATTTGTCCTGCTTCTAAATACTGGCGAAAGACATTGACGTCGACGGCGGTTTTAGTCGCTTTTTTGTGTTTTCCGCTTTTTTTTCTTCAAGTAAGCAAGACAACTCATTTTCCGAAAGTTCAGCAAAGCGAGCTGCCATTTTTAAAAAAATTGAAGGCAATACGCATGCTCAGACTATTATTTGTAGCTGAGCAATGTTTTTAACTTAATGCGCATGCTCAGACTATTATTTGCAAGAAGCGCTATAAACATGTCGTTAGAGCTATGTCGGGATAGCCGTTTCAAGTCTCAGACTATATTGTATAATGGCCTTTGGGAATTCTGATTGGTTCCCTTAAGCCTAGTTTCCATTTGGTTGTCAGTTGTCGCTGGCACAACAAGCGGTAGATGTGAAATAGTCTAATATAATAATAAAACTGCATGTCTGTACCAGTGTGAGTAGTATCAACGTGAAAATGCTGTGCTGAGTGGTTATATTACTATATTAATCCCCGAGCCGACGGCGGGAAGCGCCGTGCGAGGGTATTAATTCCGCCCGGCTATTTACACCCGGGGAAAGGAACGCACTAGCCAAGTCTAAAGTTCAGCAAATATCGTGGGCGCATGGCTCACCGTTCATGGTTCATGGGTGGTCATCCTCACTGATCTCAAAATATGTAGCGGACTGTCGTGATAGTGAACACTGATTGGTCAAATTGAAATTTGCATTATAACGACTGCATTGACGACAGCGAAATAACGAACATTTATTAAGTAAGTTGTATTTTTGCAAGATTTTGTAAATTTTAAAACCTTTCTGAGAGCCAAAAAACGTCTAAAAACGTCTAAGAGAATAGAGCAAAGTCGCCAACGTTAATGAAGGTAAGTTTGTTTTAAATATTGATGTAGGCCTACTGTTTGTTTTATAATTGATATATTTATAACTGATAGTGGTGGGCTATACTGCGAATATCGAACTGATAGTTATAGTGATACTATCATTGTGTATATAAGTGAAAAAAACCCAGCATAGAATTGCAGTGTAGTTTTATTAATTAACCTTTCTTTTGTATATTAAAGTATTTAAATAATGAGGAAAGCAAAGTTATTTTCATGCGAGAATTTGAAATCAGTTTGTTTCAAACTCAATTGTTTACCGATAATTCGAAGGCCGATTAGTGTTAAGAACATTTTAAAACGTTTTGCGAAGCGTTTGTGGTTGAATTTTACATTAAATTGAAGCTTATATTACCTATAATAACATACCTAGCATATATATGTTTGGGAAATTGGTAATTTTGTTATTAAAAGTGATATTTTGTGGGTATTTTTCAATTTCAAAACTATTCTTAAAATTATCGTGTTACCATGTCCATGACAACTACTTTCAATTCTTCATATTCAGAAAACATAATGTTTTGTCAGTAAGGCGAGGGTTTTTGTATGCATGTATTTTCTAGTATAATAATAAAATTGTTTGTGCCAGTGTGGGTAGTACCAATGTGAAAATTCTGTGCTGAGTGATTATACTAAGGTAGTAATATAACCACTCAGCACAGCATTTTTTAATATAGTAATGCTTCTGTACTAATAAGAAAATGCAGGAGGGGTGGGAACTAAAGAAGCCAATATTGGATAAATACTTGGACAAACTTTGTTTTGCTTCTAGCTAGTGGCGCAATTTGCAAACGACCTACCTGATTCGCACGTTTTGCGATTTACAGCATAGTGTAACACGTACATCCAATTTTTAAGGTCACAATTCAACGTGATATATTCATATTGGTAAGAAAGTAGAGTAGATCATGTCCGTGAATACGGACCATTATAAAACAAATTAATTGTAAAGTACGCCATGTTCAACAAATACCTTGTCTCTACTCCATTGAGATCTTTTTCAGATGTCCAAGTGATATGATACCACGTGTCTTCTTTTACTTTCCCAAAAAGTAAATCGTTGCCGTAATACCCATGAATGACTTTCTAATAGCCAAAGTTTCAGCGTTAATAAAGTTGTTTTGAAAATATATCCAAAGCAACACTCTGCAAAATAATTATTACCTCTAGGCTATATACCTGGATGTTGTATGTATGTGTGTGTGTCTGTGTGTGCGCTTTTCTGTCAGGACGATATCTTAAAAAAATATCCGACGTGTTCATACTAAAATTGGTGAGACTAATATAATGGACATTGTCCAAAGACAAACTGATTAAATTTTGGTTAAATTTGGTCGAGAATGCAGGATGAGAAATTAGCAATGCTTGTCTTGCTTTGCCGGGCATAGTAGACTAAATGTGTATTGGCCATTGCATAATTTATACATGTACATAACTTAATTGCACGTGCATAACTTAATGTGCAGTTTCTGAGTGCCCTAGATAATTAATCTCTTTTTAGATTGAATGGCAAAACATGTAATTGGGTTGTTTTCGTGGGAAACAGCACTTTTATTGATTTCGCAAATCTTCACCAAGGGCATAAAGTTGGAAATGCAAGTCGATTCGAGGTGAACTCAAAGAGGAAAGTGACTAAACTGTACCAGGCATAACGTCGTGGAAATTTTGCAAAATGTTACTCGTTCATGTAAAGAAGATTTTAATTGAGGCTAAAAATCTTCTAATTTTCTGTTTATTCTTCTTCCACAAAATTACTTTATACTGTTTTTATAATCATTTACTGTTCAATGAAGCATGAAAAAAAGAGCAATATATCAAAAGTATATATAAAACAGGAAGTCAACAACTTCAACATTTGGGGAACTGTTAACATTCTAACATTTCATTGTTAATTATATACGTTTTTCAAATGTTAATTGTTGAAATTTCAAAGATTATATTATTCAACAATCTTCTATAACGGTATTTTATTTAACAAATATAAAACATTTCCTGTGTTGATATACAGTTATATCAACACGAGTAGGAATTGCGAAAACGAGAAATTGTGTGTAAACTGCACGACGCCCGGCGGCTGGAGTGTTTTCACACAATTTCGAGTTTTCCCCAATTTCCACGAGTGTTGATATGTATGGAATATCAATACTGAAAAAAAAATTATAATTTTTTATAGTAAAGCACACTGTCTGCATACATTTCGGGGATACGCTTTTAAATTTAAAGAGCGGAGGGAAATTTTCCGTGTTGACATTAAGTTATGTCAACACGGCTCTTAGCCAATCAGCGCACGGGCAATAGGACAGGTGCAGTGTTGTTAAATAAAAAGTTAGAAATGGTATTATACTTACTCATGTATTGTAATTATGTTTAAAAGATCAGAATATTCATAACTTCTTATTTTGTTTCATGCCTGGTTTCCGGTATATACTTCATTTAACCCTTAGTATATACCTCAAAAGCAAAGCACAACCACTTCTGCCACACGGTGCGCACACACGGTGGCTTAAAAGGTCTTAAAACTGTTTATTCTACCGATAAATAACTTTATTATTGACTGGGATTTCAATGGGAAATGGGATTGGGACCCCCCCCCCCTCCCTTCAGGACCCTCTTTAATATTTATTAACGAAACAAATTCCACATCTACTTCATCTGCCGTCGCCATGTTTACTCGTCTCAATCTACATGCTGCACGGCATTGCCGCCCCTCGTGGCAAAATAATAAGCACGCGAGGAAATAATAATTAATAAGCATGCGAGGAAAATTAAGGAGAAAATAAGGGGGTAGGGACATCGTGGTCATAAGCTGGATACAGTGACACTTCCATATATGGCACAAACCTGTCGATAACTTCCATATATGACACAAACATGATCATGACCAACCTCGTTCCCAGGGCTTTTCCCTTTTTGCCAATGACAAAAAGGGAAAAGCCCTGGGAACGAGGTTGGATCATGACCTCGACCGAGAGCGTCATGACGTAGGGATGACGTGAATGCTGCTTCCCGCCTATGACAATTTGAATTAGTCATGTGACACTAGTGGTGTAGTCCTGGATTGTTAACAAGGGGGGCTTTCCAACAGGGGCGAAACTTCGGTATTACGGAACGGCTGGGGGGAGGGGGGTCGAAGTTTGAAGACGTTCCTGAGGGACAAACATTTGATCAGTCTCTAAATAATATTTCTTTTCCCAAAATTGTTGGTGAACGGAGCATTTTTCACTACCACTTTTTCCTACCACTATTACTTTTCAATCTGAGGCACTCGAATATTTTCAAAATTTGCCCGACTAAACTGTATGGGCATACCCGATGAGATAGAGACAGGGGGTGAAACCTCCCCCCCTCTCCTGCACACCCCCCCCCCCCAGGTGTCCATGTTCTCCGAAAGTGCCCTGAACTGGCGGAGGGGTGTTTACAATATGATATTTTGGAAATTCTAAATTTTGTTGGGTTTTTCTTTCTAATAATTGTGGGACAAACATTCAAAATTATGCTTATTAATTAAAAACAATTGCCGTTAGTAATATAAAATATTCTGAGCATTGTGTAGATGCAATTCTAAAGAACATTCTCGTTTAAGATTATTCAAAAATTATAGGGGAGGCTAAACCCCAAGCCCCCCCCCCCCCACTACACCACTGTGTGACACAAGATTGCGAAAGCTTATCCGCCCAGAACGATGACACGCCCACGATGTTTTCCTACCCTCTTATTTTCTGCTTAATTTTCCTCGCGTGCTTATTATTTTGCCAGGAGGGGCAGCAATGCCATGCAGCATGTAGATCAGTTGGGACGAATAAACATGGACGGCAGACGAAGTAGATGTGGAGTGGTTAACACTTTTTTCCATCCAGCAAACCGCCCTATCGATTTTGTAAAGTCGTTTCTTTTTGGATTTTTTTATTAATTCGGTTAGGGATAGGGTTAGGGTTGAGGTTAGGGTTAGGGGTTAGAGTAGGGGTGGGGTTTGGGTTAGTTACATAGCCATTTAACACCTCTTCTATCTTGCGAAAATGACGTCAGGTCAGTTTGCTAGATGGAAAATAGTGCCAACCATGTGGAATTTGTTTCGAATATTACATAAAGAAAGTTATGAATATTCTGATCTTTTAAACATAATTATCATACATGGGTAAGTATAATACCATTTCTAACTTTTTATTTAACAACACTGCATTATAATTGCCCGTGATCAGCGTTCAGAATTTTAAACAAACGCTATATGAATAGAAGAAAAAAATTTTTTTTTCAGAAATACCTTCTTCTATCCATCTCCGCCTAAATCATTAAGTTAAACAGATCGCAAATATATTTACCTTGCTGCTGCCAAAAATGCCCAAGTGCAAACCATTGTTTACAGATGTTGAGCCATGACCCAATACCCGAACATTTTTCTGGCCAATATTTCTGAATTTCAGTAAAGCCATGACTGACCAGTTGCTGTGCCTCCAGAAATTATCCGAGATACCAGAAATCTTTAAATGTTTATTATTAGAAAATAACACAGCTTGTCGCATCACGGCGTCTTCGTAAGGTAGCGTTGAATTCACTGGTGAAATATCTGGTAGATAAATGTTTAAATATTGACATTACATTCTATGACAAATAAATGCAGGTTACGTATCATTGCGGTTTTATTTATCACTCTCAGGTAAACTGGTTGTAAGTAATGTCCGTTTTCCACTGTGCGAATTTGTTCGCGCGAAGCGAAAAACAGATTTGCCGCGAAAAGGTGGGTCCCTTCCCACTTTCCTCCTCAGCTAACCATCACGTTGCCGAATTTTTTGGCATCGCGGGAACGAATGTTCCCAGGCTAGTGGAAAACGGTCCCTTAGAAACATGCATGTGCCTTTCCATGTCCGACAGAGGTTCGAGAAACGCAGGCGGTGAATAAACGCGTCAAAAGACAATTCACAAATGACCGTGGTGTATGTGATGACGCATTTATAGGATCATTCCATTTAACATGTGTACCCGCCATATATCCATCTTGTATATTTCCAATGGGGGTAGAAGAGGGGTATCTTCCTAAATTTTCCTAGGAGGTAACTCGTGGAATTTTAGTGATATTCAAGAGATATCCTAAAGGGGATAATTTTCCTATGATTTAACTCATGGAATTTTAGTGATATCCATGCAAGAGATATCCTAAAGAGGGTTAGTGAAACATCCTATGGGGTGAATTCTAAAAAATGCATGAAAGAGAGTTCCAATTTTTATATTCTGACGGGATTATGAAGGGAGTAGGCAATAGGGGTCGTGCCTATATTAAATGGAATGGCCCAACAATGTATGAATAAAGGACGGCCTTAGTTACAATACAGAGGAGGAATGAGGGTCTTCCCGAAATGCAACGCATGCCCCAATGCGGTTCATTATTATTTAAAATATTTATTCTCAACGGAGTCAACGCGCCGTTCGACTAAGCCACATTGAGGCATTTCGGGAAGAGCCTCATTCCTCCTCTGGTTACAATAGATAAGTGTCTAGATTATTACCTGCAGTAATATTGAGATTCGCTCGAGAAATCACGCTTGGAACAAACTTTCTGTTAAACTCAAATATTATGCCCAGGTCTGCATTACGAAAGGCTTGGTAGTTTGCCTCGGGAATATTAACCACATCAGGATAACTACTACATCCAGCAGGTGGCTCAAACAAAAGATACTGCCAACCATGAGGCGTACATAGTTGAAGTTTTGTTGAGTAATATCTCAGAATACCAAAATTTGAGCCGTTACATCTGTAAGTTACGAAGAAATTTAAAGAAAAGATTCTTTTGAAAGGTACACCAATGTTTTATATGTGAAAAATGCAGCAACTATCATTACCACTACCATCACCTGTACATCATTAACATTACCATCCTTATAACGTTGCCAACAACTGCTATAGTGTTAGTATATATAATGCTCGTTTGTAATATTAGCACAGTATATAGTAACATACTATATATTATACAACACCTTATTTAAATTATGGTCATATTATGATTATGATTGTGAAAACGTGATATTGAATTAATCCCCATTTTACTAAGAGTGCGATGAAACGCATTCCATTCCACTCCCACTCGCGTATTTCTGAACTATACGTTTTGTTCCATTGCACAGTTTGATTTGATTTTCAAGAAATTGCATTGGTCAAAATCTTGATTGTGTCAAAATGTTATAACCACAACATTACTCATCACTAATAATGAAACCAGATATAGTACTACACATTCCGGTGCTCTGGATCATGCGCAAAACAGCACGTTGGCAGCATGAACAAGTGCACCCCAAACGCGAATACATACTATTTTGAAAAATGTGCATAAATTTGCGTTCGTTCTTGAACAAACTAACAGACTAACATACTCACGCACATAATATAAGCGATGCTTAACTTTGTTTGGGCCCCGCAATTGCGCGATCCCACCAAACTTAACGGATACAGTGTAATCATGTGTATATTTAGAACATGATAAAAATATAACATTACTCTGGTTTGTAATGATTGATGCAGTTTCGGATTGAGGAAAGGAAATAAAGTTAATCTTCACTTCTTCTGTCATTATTCAGAGATAGCACTTGTCAATGAACAGAATAACATACTCACTGTATAGACTCACTTCCTCTAAAATACGATGTATATTCCATATCCCCTTTCTCTCCTTTCCCTCCAGGTATCCCCTGCGTTCCATTAGCACCTTTTTCTCCAACAGTTCCATTTACTCCTGGCAAGCCTACGGGTCCAGGAGATCCAGTTTTACCCGCCTGCCCTGCTCGTCCAGGATCACCTTGGTCCCCTTTCTGACCAGGAGCACCATCAGACCCATTTTGACCCGCGGGTCCAACTGGTCCTCGATCCCCTTTTACTCCAAATGTTGCTATTGTTCCATTAGTTCCCGGAGGACCTTGGTCTCCTTTCTGAAAACAATAATAGATTAATTGTAATTAAACGACCTGCCAACTTTCTGAAAATTACATTCTGATGGCATTTTTAAAATTTGTTACAAGGTGCGAGTTGGCATTTTCGTACAGTCTAAGCATTGGTGATCAAGATTATACAATGCTGGAACAGTGGGACTTCGAGAATTTAAATATTTTGCCTATTAAGGTAGAATTAATTTTGTACTTACGTTGCCCTTTGGTCCAGGTTCTCCTTTATCCCCAATCTGTCCTTTTATCCCCAAACTTTCATTAGTTCCAGGAAATCCTCTCTCGCCTTTTTCACCTTTAGGACCAGTCGAGTTTATGACATTCTGTATGGCGGACAAAAATTAATTAATGAAATAGATTTTTCCCAAGGTTTAGGAGTAGTTATCCTGCAGGTATAGCTCTGTCGAGTCAGCATTTTTCACGGAGCTCTTACCCGTGTCGATTAGCTTCCAGGTGTGGGACCAATGCGCGCGCACATTGACAGGAAACAGGTTGGAAAAGTATCACATTTGTTCTAGAAGGTTTTGAGTTGTTATTTGGTTAAATTTGTTCTACATGGTTTAACAATGTTATTTTAATCTGTGCTGGAAGGATTCCACAATTGCTATTTTAATTTGTTTTGCATGGTTCGT